GAGAGAGAGAGAGAGAGAGAGAGAGAGAGAGAGAGAGAGAGAGAGAGAGAGAGTGTGCACTGGGGTGAATTAAATATCAGAAGGAAAGATGCTTGCATGTTATTTTTAGATCTGGCCATCCTGATGGACTGAAGAGGTGTTTTTTCTTCATTTCTATGGTATTAGTACACTGATCTTCAAACTATTTCATATGCAATTAAGGGACGCTGGACCCAGTTTCCAGCAGGTGCAGCTCCCCACCAATAGATGGAGTGACAAAGCAGGCCTAGTAGGAGGGGATGCTCGTATCACCCACACTACTAGAACCTGCAGAATCTTTTTTTCAGCATTGCAACACTTCATGGGTGTACCCAGTGAGCTGAGGCCGTGGATAAATTCATCAATTGTTGTCTTGTGAATGGGCTTCTGCAGTGAAGGCTTAGTGAAAAAAAAAAAAAAAAAAAAAAAAAGAGGGAAAAAAAAGGGCTTCTGCAGTGAAGGTATTATTGTTGTCTTGTGGATGGGCTTCTGCGGTGAAGGGTCGTTCATGGAAAATATAGTTCGCTGGCGCTTTCAAATACGGAGCCACTTGAGGAGGGACACTACGACCGGAAGGTAAGTGGGGCTGGCCATGACCCTTCAGAACCGGGAGGGTAACAAGAACAGGGCCTAAGTCCCACTTACACGACTTAAGCGATATTGACCGTATCTCTAGCAGAGATCAACGGCTAGATTCTCTTAATCCGTGCAAGTGGGACCTTGCCCCAGTTAGAGGCTCGCTACCCTTGGAAGGTAGCTTCATCAACTTAGGGCCTATCGGTATAGTTGCACTACTCGCCATCCGCCAACGTTTTTCAAGTTGCATTCAAAATCTTGGCGGATGGGGAGTAGTGCAACTAACCCTAACGTTACGATTCAATTGAAGAAACGACACAGCCCTACCCTTTCGGCCAAGTCCTGATAAAAGAACGAAACGATGAAGCACATACGACTTCACAGGTAACTTTTTTTTTTTTTTTTTTTTTTTTTTTTTTCACAGGTAACTTGCTGTATACAACTACAAGGGCGAGGACCCACTAGCAAGACGATTGGAATAAGCTCCTAAATCTGGATGTATTTTGTGAAGAGATGCAGAAAATGAGTTCCATCTCGATTTTCTTCATCATTCCAAGCGCGCATCTAGATTCAGCTGTTCAATCCACTTCTCTTTGCTACCTACAGGTAGTGGGGCCTAGCCCCACCTCAGCCCCGGGGCTACATGTAGGTCCCACTAGCAATAGCAAAGAGAATTGGATTGAACGCCCGAATCTAGACGTGTCCTTCGAATGATGCAGAAAATCGAGATTGAACTCCTTTTCTGCATCTCTTCCCAAAACACGTCCAGACATTCAGGAGCTTAATCCACTCCTCTTTGCTAGTGGGACCTCGGCCCCGGTGTAGGGTCCCACTCACCTGGATTATGAATCCCCTGAACGGCCACCGATCACGACGAAGATCAACGGCTGAAAGCGAAGAATCGGGTCGGGTTATCAAATGGGACGTCGCACCGGGTAACGTCTCTCTCTTCTTTCGTCTATTTGTCGCACAGTACAACTGGCTCGTCGCCGCACGTCACTTTCGTCTATTTGTCGCACAGTACAACTGGCTCGTCGCTCACGGCACCTCACCTCCACCTCACCTGACCTCACCCCTCACCCGACCTCACCTGGAGGTCATGTGCAGGGCACCGCAACCCCGCCCTCAGCTCTGAGCAAGGAGAGCTTATCAGTGCAGGCGCGCGCGGTACACATCACCTCGGAGGGAGGCGGAAGTGGAAGCGAGTAGTTGGCGCACAGCACGTGCTAGGGGAGGGAAGCGGATAGTAGCGCACAGCACGCGCGAGGGGAGCGGAAGCGGATAGTTGCGCGCATACGGTACGTGCGAGGGGAGCGGAAGGGGATAGCGGCGCGCCCGCCGTTGGTGCGACGGTGGCGGGCCAGCTGTACGTGCAGTACCCCCCCCCCCTCCTTTGCTCTGGCGGCTTCTTCCTTTTCGGCTCTCACTTAATTACAGAGCAAGTGGCTTCTTGTAGTCCTAGACGTAAGTTGTCCTTCTCTTTCCCCACTCCTCCACCCTTCATCCCCATTACTCCCTACAACACCTCAACCCCTCCTCCTCCTCTCTCCTGTTTTCCTCCTGCTTGTCGCCCCTGCGTCTCGATTCTCGGTGGTTTCTATTCCGCTCCCTCTTAGTCCGCCTCCCCCTCCTCCTCCACCTTTCGCTCTTGGGCTTTCCTTCTCCTGTCTCCTCTTGCTATTGATGGTGTTCTATGGGATAGCAGCGGGTCAACGAGGAAGCGGAGGGACAGGAATCATAATGGCGGCCGCATTATGGGGAACAATG